AATTACAATATAAAGTATTACAACTTTGCTGCAACTATTAGTTACCTCAGGAACAGACACAGTTAATGACCGAGTGTTTCCACTTCCCTCAAAAGTAAATGTTTTTACTATCAGCGTTTGAGATAACTCACTCATTGCGTCGTTTTAACTTAATACTGTTGTCATAGTTCAGCTATATAAATCAATTTCGGACGTTACAGTCATTTAACCAATCACACTAGTTGATTTAGGCGGTCTCCTTCTTTATTGATGATCTATTCGCTTTTAGTTTACATGACAGTGACTCGTACACCGAACAGCCAATCGGCGTTCAAACCGACAGTACACAGTAAAACGGCCAGCCAATCATATTCCTAGAAGCTCTAAAAGGGCGGGACGCTAGCAACACACAGTTAGATTGCGCCATAAGGCGTGAAATAAGCTTGCTGCCGCCAGGTTATCTAACTTTAGTTTATTATCAAGCCTTCAGTATAGCAACCACCTCCGTCTTCTGAAATAAATACAACTTAATTCCGGTACCGCGTACAGTCTAGTCTGCGGCTAAAGAGCCGCACACACATCTACAAAGGCCTCCAGTGACTGACTAGCGTCTCCAGACTCCATAGACTTTCACTACAGCACAGTTAGCAATAGCACGCGAAGCTAAAAGGCGTCGCGCAAAAGACAAAACGCGTCGAAACGGCGAAGAATGAACCATAAAAGCAAGAAACGGATCAAAGAAGCGAAACGGAGCGCCCGACCCGAGCTGAAGGACTCAAGCGACTGGACCAAACACGAATACTGCAAGAGCTTCGACCTGTCGCACAGGAGCGTGAAGGTAATAGCGCGGTTTATTAACATGTGAGATTAAAAACAGCACGATATACTCGCCCACCGACGCCTGTCGTTGTAGTTTGGTTTGTTGATGTAAGTTCACGCGCATGTGAACAGATTGCGCGTTCACGAGTCTACGCGGATCAGCGCACGTACACAGTGCACACTACCGAGGGTCCAAAGAGACACTAGTAAAGTTTATTGCTTCTTCAGTTGTGTTATAGTGTTTAACTTAACAAATATAAGAGAGTGATGTTTTAAGTGTTAAAAAGAAGAGCGTAATGTAATATGTACAGTAACATAAAGGTTAGTTCACCCATCAATTAAAATGATCATTTATTCACCCTTTACTTCCACACCTGTATGAGTTTCTTGATGAACACAAAAGAAGATATTTCGAAGAAAGCTGAAAACCTATAATTCATCATTGACCTTCATAGGAGTAAGTATGGAGGTCAATGGTTACAAGTTTTCAGCTTTCATCAAAATATATTCATTTGTGTTTAACAGAGAAAAGAAACTCCTTAAAAGGTTTTTAATCATCTGAGAGTGAGTAAATACTGAGTTAAAACCCTTTAATGGTGTTATTTCTTCTACTTAGTTGAGTATGGGTGCTTTAATACCAAATCAGCTAAAATAATGTTGATTTACAGTGTAGATTACCATGTTATAGCCACTGTTTGTAGTTTTGTATAGTTTTATATCAAAAACTTGCTCGCCATAACAGTAATAATTGTTCATACAAACACTCACACATCTAATTAACTTGTAATGATAGCTTATTTATATATTAGTAGATTTTTATAGAGAGATGTTTTAAGTAGGCCTGACACAATAATCAATATATCGACTTATCAACACATGGACAGGAGCGTAATCATTTCTTCTGATGTAATGTATATCGCCCATACACAACCAATTCTAGCAGCATTTTAGCTGATCGTGCAATATCTCCATCTCTATGAAATATGTGTTCTTTGGAAGAGTGGCTTTGCATCATGATGATGTTATATTGTCATTCTGGCATTATATGAGTGCCATTAAATGGTCCTAAAATGACAATAAAATAGTTTATCGCAATATATTTTAGTGCAATAACTACATAAAAACGATATTGTGACAGGCCTAGATTTAAGTCTTCAAGAGAAGAGGATAATATGTTGTAGGGATGCACCTGGATCGGATATCGGTTCATTTATCGCACATTTATGCTTGATCTGGTATCGGCCAGCTGGTACCAATCCAAATCTGATCTTTCGCGTGCGCTATATTCGGTGAAATTAACAAGCCAACAAAAGGCACGAAGGTAGCCTATTACAAGGCACTGGAAAGTTGTCATGTATGCCTTGCATATCCCAAATGTTCTGAAGCCATTCCACAGTTTAATGTGACGCACAGATGAATATTCACGTGGTTAAATTCATGTTCAGTTCAGCGATTCCCTCTGCTGTGCTTGTCAGTAATTCTCTATTCATTCACAATTCAAACTGCGTGTCGCGTTCATGACAACACGAAAATCCTTCTCCAAGACTATTTGTTCCTGTTAGTTTGCACCGCTCCGCAAAATTATTCTCATAAAGAGTTTGTTCTCTCATCCTTCCAACTGAGTTCATTCTTTCGATGTAAATATGTTATGTGCTGCTATTAGTTTGTAAAGCCTGGCTCAATAGCCGCGTTTCCACTATCGCGCCTAAAGCGAGCGAGCCAGGGTGAGCCAAGGCCAGTCGCGTTTCCACTGTCACTTCCGGGGCCTAATCGGGCCAAAGCGGGGCTTTCTTGGGGCCAGCGGCCGGCCTTTTTCGGCCCGCCGAATACCTTGGGCCAAGGAGGGCCAGCTGGGGCTTCGGGGCGGAGTGAAAGGAGAGGCGGGCAGTTTTCTGATGGCACATGAGGCTACATGCGCCAAGCAAACAAATAAATAAATAAGGGAAAGAAAACATCTAGCATTATAGTCTGGGGTCTTTTTAATCACCCTTATGTTTCCCTTTTAAATGTAAGGCTGTTGCATAAAATAATAAAGCAGTTTTAATTTATAGTGACGTTCTTTGCTGCGTCCCCCTTGATGTTTCAATAACGCATAATAATCTTTACACCATATTAAAAACACAGCATATAATGTACTGCTGTACAGTAACGTGTCATTTGTTTGTTTCGGTTGTCTTCATTTTAATGGTTTCGTTTCGTGATGATTCCATGATGTGCTTTATCTGCCTGATTCCCGCTGAAATGGGCAGGTTTTGTGACTTGATTTCGGCCTCATTACTCAACCTCCCGGGCGATTGGCCCGGCCCGATAAAAGCCCTGGCTTGCACTGGCCCGATAGTGGAAATGCGGCTATTGTTGTCAAAGTAGTTAATTCAATTAATACAAGTGAAACTAGCGGGCGCAATATGGATTGTCATTAACAGAAAATTATTTAGCCTAATATAGGCTACTCTGAAACTGCGAATATTTCTCTGTCATTTTATATATATATATTAATATTTTATTTAACAGACCTGTTTGTCAGTTTGTGCGCTGAAGCACGAGCGGACCTTGTTTTGAACTTAAATATTCTAGTTTATTTTGTAGATAACTGACCAACAAAAATACATTAAAATAACAAGTTATATCAAACAAAATTAGTTTTAAGAAGAATTTTTCGGACAAGAAATAATTTTTCAGACATGCTTTCAGTTTCTCGATCTCACTCGTAGCGAATTTAGGCGAGAGAAACTTTTAAGTAAAACTGGCCTCAGTTTAGTTTAGTCTACTCAAAATCTGCTGGAAGATATCACGCTTTGCTAAAAGGAAGGTTATTTTTTACCAACGATTAGGGTCAATAGTGGTAGCCTAGTACAGATTTTTTTATTATTTGAGCACTAGGACTGTAAAAACTGTATTAGGTTTAAAAAAAAAAACGACAACAAACAAAACAGCACAGTATCGGGATCGGATCCTTACTACTTACTACTGCTATAGCGACAGAAAGATGAAAGAGTGTGTTTCCTACAGGTGGTTTGTCAAGCCCACTCACCTCTTTGAGGCACACTCGGAACAGATAATGAGTCGATCGTTAAGAAACATCGTTATCATCGTATTTAACAACAATATTACATATTGTTTCAGTATCAATGAGCACTAGTATACGGTATTCTCACGATATTGACCAAAGCTGCAAAAAAAGTTACTTTAATGGGTAAAATAAGCAAACTATACATACACCGTGTCCTAACAACACGCAGTGTGACAAGATTCCAGTGATGAGCAATTTGGTTTACGACAGAAACATTTAAATACTATCATGTCATTAAATACCAGCCACTGCACTCTAGGCATCGGACGATAACCGTTTTTAAGGTATACTGCGGTTTGGAAAAGTTCTGATGGTTTTGAAACCTTGACTTTTCCAAACCGCACTATACCGTTCCTAAGCTATGTGTACGATTTTATTAAATTATTATTATTATTATATATTTTTTTGCAGGATAATGTGGAGCGAGCGGACGTTCAGCGGCTCAGTCCAGAGGAGTTCATCCAGCGCTTTGAGAAGCCTTATAAACCCGTGGTTTTGCTCAACGTCGAGGACTCGTGGCCCGCTCGTGAAAAGTGGACCCTGGAGAGACTCAAGCGCAAATACCGCAACCAGAAGTTCAAGTGCGGCGAGGACAACGACGGTTACTCGGTCAAGATGAAAATGAAGTATTACGTTGAGTATTTGGAGTCGACTCACGACGACAGTCCGCTCTACATCTTCGACAGCAGTTTCGGGGAGCACGCCAAACGCCGAAAACTACTGGAGGACTATCAGGTGCCGCTTTTCTTCAGAGACGACCTCTTTCAGTTCGCCGGAGAGAAGAGACGCCCGCCGTACAGGTACTGCTGCATGCTGGCTTCTATTTGTTTTGGTGTCCGCTTGTTTAGATTTAGCCTTGCAGATTTAATAAAAATGGAAGCTGGACACAAATTTAGTTGTGCTGTGACAAAAAAAAAATGACTCTGAGGATTTCAGAATGCATCGTAAAGCTGGTTTGAAGAACAGGCAGCACTCTAGACTAGTTTTAATGTTGAAGATGTTGCTCTAAGCTAGTTTTAACAGCAGATGGAGCTCGAGGCTAGTTTTTAACAACAGATGGCGCTCAAGGCTAGTTTTAAACAACATATGGTGCTCTAGGGTAGTTTTTAACAGCAGATGGCGCTCTAGTTTTTAACAGCAGATGGTGTCTCTAGGCTAGTTTTTAACAGCAGATGGCGCTCTAGTCTAGTTTTTAACAGCAGATGGCGCTCTAGGCTAGTTTATAACAGCAGATGGCGCTCTAGGCTCATTTTAAACAGCAGATGGTGCTCTAGGCTAGTTTTAAACAGCAGATAGCGCTCTAGGCTAGTTTTTAACAATAGTCTACGCTCTAGGCTAGTTTTGAACCGCAGACGTCGCTCTAGGCTAGTTTTAAACTACAGATGGCACTCTAGGCTAGTTTATTATATCAGACGGTGCTCTAGGCTAGTTTTAAACAGCAGATGGTGCTCTAGGCTAGTTTTAAACAGCAGATGGCGCTCTAGGCTAGTTTTTAACAGCAGATGGTGCTTTAGGCTAGTGTTTAACAGCAGATGGCGCTCTAGGCTGGTTTTGAACTGCAGATGATGCTCTAGGCTAGTTTTTATAGAAGATGGTGCTCTTGGCTAGTTTTGAACAAAAGATGGTGCTCTAGGCTAGTTTTGAACAGCAGACTGCACTCTAGGCTAGTTTTTTAGCAGATGGTGCTCTCAGCTAGTTTGAACAGCTGACATAGAACTTGCAAATTTCTGAAACTGAGTCCTCTATGTGTGTTTCTTGCAGGTGGTTTGTAATGGGTCCGGCCCGCTCTGGGACAGGCATCCACATCGACCCACTGGGCACGAGTGCATGGAATGCTCTGGTTCAGGGCCACAAGCGCTGGTGTCTCTTCCCCACACACACACCCCGTGAGCTCATCAAGGTGACACGGGACGAGGGAGGAAACCAGCAGGACGAGGCCATCACCTGGTTCAACGTCATCTACCCGCGCACACAGCAGAGCACCTGGCCCGACGAGTTCAGGCCGCTGGAGATCCTGCAGCGCCCTGGAGAGACCGTGTTCGTGCCCGGTCAGTCGCATGCTCCTCTAAATGTGCTCTAAATTCGATATTTCAATGCAATTCAATTCACGTTTATTTATATAGTGCTTTTTAGAGTGTGTCTGAGCCTCGGACATTATCAGGAAGGCTATTCCAAAGTTTAGGAGCCATAATTGAGAAGGCTCGACCTCCTTTAGTGGACTTGGCTATTCTGGATACTACCAGGAGCCCTGAGTTTTGAGATCTTGAAGCGCAAGTGGGATTCTAGCGAGACGAGATTGATTAGATACAGGAGCTAGATAGATAAGCTTTATAGATGAGAAGCAATATTTTAAAATCAATACGGAATGTAACAGGCTGCCAGTGCAATCTCAGCTGAGCCATGAAGGCAGGGCAGTGCATTAGGGTTGTTTTTGGTGACCTGTTTAGTTAAGTTCTGTTTTAGTTTAATATAACTGTAGTTTTAGTCTAGTCTTTGTGTGAATCTGACATTTTATTAGTTTTAGTCATGTTTTAAGTACTGCAATAATATTTAACCCTGTCAATATAATATATTAGTATCTAGTGGTAAAGACAAAATCAACATTTTCTTTTGCACAAACCCGTTTCAAACAAAGTTGCAACCTTATTGCAGAACAGAATGTGATGTCCAATAGCCTACTGGTTATGTGTGCTGACATAAAGTATCGGTGCTCATGGCGGCAGAAGTTCGATTCCCAGCTCAAGATCCTATGCTGATGGTTTCCCTCATTGAAAAAGAGTTCAAAAACCCCTTAAAATAATTATATATAAAAAAGGTCATGATTAAACAAAATAACATAATAGCATTTAATTTAGTCTCGTTTTAGTCAATGAAAATAAAGAAACATTTTAGTGTAGTTTTTAGTTTATAAATCGTATTTAGTTGCGTTTTTTCCCCCTTTAACAATAATGCATTGTAAATTTAGTTGTAGTCATCATCACATGGCCAGCATTTTCATCTCGTTTTTGTCATGTAATAAAGGTTCGTTGACCGCGATATTTAGTCATCGTTTTGGTTGACGAAAGCAACACTACTGGGCATGGAGTAGCTCCTCCCCTTTAATAAAAACGGCCAATAGGGTTTTGTTTTTTCTCACAGCTTTGCAAGTAAGAGTGATTGAGCTTAAGCGCATCAAATGCGATGTGTTTTAAAAGGGTGGTGGCATGCATTCAAGAAAGCATTTGATTGGTCAGAATGTGCCTGCCTAGCAACAGGCTCCTGTTGCTGTTCATTTGTTCTTCATCTAAAACGCCACATCTATAATCCTCTTAGTCTATGCTGACATTATCTACAGCAGCTCAAACACTTTAACGGCTAATTGACAGATGGCTGCTTCTCACTTAGGGCTGCTGTTTATGCTAATGAGATGGAGAGATGGGCACTATTGGGCGGGGCTTCCCCCTTCTGATGACATCATACAAATGGAGAATGCCAATCGAAGTGTTTCTGCAGACTGTTTTTATCAAGTGTGATTTATAAACACTAACATTAATTCATGTTTACTGTTAGAAGCTGATTATTCACACATTGTCACCACACAGCTGTGTGTTAAACCCCTTATAAAGGTGATTTTTGCGTAATATGACCCCTTTAAGAAGAGCTGTTTGGTGTGGTCTGCAGGTGGATGGTGGCATGTCGTCCTCAACTTGGACACAACCATTGCCGTGACCCAGAATTTTGCAAGCACCACCAATTTTCCCATTGTGTGGCATAAGACGGTGCGAGGCCGACCCAAACTCTCCAGAAAGTGGTACCGGTGAGACCCTCTGCTATACGCTGATTTCTTCATCTTCCATCACTTGTGTTATTTTTTTTATTTTAGGGGTTTAATTTAATAATTTAAATATTGTGTGCTGTTGGGTTGTTTTCTTGTACTCTGGGGGGATTTTGAGGCTTAATTTGTCCACAACTCCCTCTGTGTTTCAGCAAATAGGACGATTTTTGGCGACCAATCTTATTTTGACACACATTTTGGGAAAATGCTTTGAAAATGTTCAAAAACCTCAACAATACACTCTGCAAATTTACTACCCTTTCCTTATTTTGGGGGCTGGGAATACCAGCGACAATCAAGAATGCATGATTTTAAGATGTCATGGCTTTGCAACGAAAAAATGTGAGTATAATGGAAGTCAGTGAGGCAAAAACAACCCCCAACATATCGAAAGGGGAGTCAATTTGAACAATTCACAAGGGTTAAGCAGCTTTTAAATGGTAAATAATTTGGCTGTTTTGTTGACGCCATGTATCAGTTCTAAATCCTTAAAGCTGTAGTTGATCCAGGAATGTGCATTCATTCTGGATGCTCTGTGTTTGTCAGGATCCTGAAGCAGGAACGGCCTGATATTGCTGCTATAGCGGATAAAGTGGATCTGCAGGAGTCGACAGGCATCGCCTCGGATAGCTCCAGCGACTCGTCCTCATCCTCCTCCTCCAGCTCCTCTGACAGCGACTCCGAGGTCCTTTTGAAAACACACACACACACACACACACACACACACACACACACACTAAAATTACAGTACACTAAAAAAGATAGAAAATGTATAAACATGTATACACCGCATTATATTCGTCACATACAAAAGGTATAAGGCTAAAGCCTGGTTTATACTTCTGCGTCAAGTGACCGGCGTAACCAACGGCGCATGCAACGCGCGTAGCTGTGCAATTATACTTCTGCGCGCTGTCTCTGTTGGTCTGCATTACCACTTCCAAAACGCTAGTGTGCATTGAGGTGTAAATGCTCCTCTGTGTCAAGTTCTTCGCCTGTGTTTGGTTCTTTCTGAACGCTTCCGGGATGTACAAGTGGCTCAAACTCGCTCATTTTGAGGCAGGAACCGGCGGACGTGCAACAACTTTAACTATGAGGTAAACACAAAACAAAACGTTCCATCAGGAGCTCCTTCACGGGACTCCACACTTGTAAACAATCGCTCCATTAGGCTCGCGCCCGTCGCACGGCTCTCGGTCCCGCCCAGACTCGTCAGCGCCACAAAGCCGACCAATCACAGAGCTTGCGCTGCTCGTCGTTGCCACGTTTAGTTACATTTTTTTGAGAGGCGCACGTCAGCGACGCCGACAACCACGGCATAGTTCTGTGCATCAGCGCCGCATATGCGTGCGCTTGACGTAGAAGTATAATTCAGCCTTAAGGCAACATGATCAAAGAATAAATTAATAATAGACCATTTATGTAAACACTGCTGTTTTGTATTTAAACACTTTTTAAGTGCTCCACTAAATGCATTTACATCATCATCTAATTTTAGGCTGGCATGTAAAGCATTTCATAGGTTTGTTCAGACAAAATTGTCTAAAACGTGTGTTTTTAGGTCTGGGAACCACGGAATAATCCGAATAATTGACTTAGTCCTGGAGGGCCGGTGTCCTGCATAGTTTAGCTCCAATTTCCTTCATCGCACCTGCCTGGAAGTTTCTAGTATACCTGGAAAGAGCTTGATTAGCTGGTTTGGGTGTGTTTAATTGGGGTTGGAACTAAAATATGCAGGACACCGGACCCCCAGAACAGATTTTGGGCAAGTCTACTCTAAGCCATTGAATTATTAGACATTAATGCACACCTTGGATGTAACAGCCACTCTGCTTCTCATTGCGGCCTTGTCGCCACCTTGGGTGGGCTTCATTTTCTAATAGCAATATTACACGGCTATCTGAGATGCTTGATTCTGATTGGTCAGTTGGAACTCTCCAAGGTATGTTATTCCTAGATAACAACCTCTAAATAACACGGACTCATCTGAGAACTTCAGATTCTCTTGGCCTTCAGTGAATATGATCACATCCATATTTTTATGCGTGTCTGTTTTCACTCTTTTTGACTGTTTGGTGCCATCTTGTGACTGAATATGTAGGTTACATGTTTGCCCCATTTAACCGTTTTCATTTCTGTCAGCTCTGCTTTTAATTAAAGAATGAGTAAACCATTACAGCTCATAACACTGTGTCTATTTTTATATTGTGTTGCAAACATCAACGTAATAAGTAGGATAAAGTACATCCAGGTGGTTGTTTTCGCAGAATAAAGCCCTTTAGTTAATCAAATACTTGATTCTGATTGGTCGGTTAAGGCATGTTATTCCTAGATAATAACCGCTAAATAACACAGACTCCTCTAAGAACTGAGAATCACCTTTACTTTTATATACTTTCATCCAGTCATTTGTATGTGTTTGTCTGTCTCATCGTGGTTCTTACTGTTTGGCGCCATCTTGTGGCTGAATAATGTGTAGATTAGTCTATGCATCCTTCTGCTAGTTTTGTTTTTGCCAGCTTTGCATTGTTGACTGTTCTATATTTTGTCCTGCAGGCTGACTCGGGCTCTGAGGGCGACGCCATGACCCACCGCAGAAAGAAGAGGAGAACAGGAGGCATGATGGGGAACGGTGACATCACAAGCCAGGACGACTGCGCCAGCAAAGAGCGCAGTTCATCCCGGTGACAAAACTGAGGAACCTGAACTAAGTATACCAAGAAGTGTGCTTGCGGGAGGAGCATCGCATGAATGGGAGGATGAGGGGGAAATCGTCTTTTTTGTTGTTGCCTTTGCAGATGTCAGGCTCTGGACGGCGAGTATGGTGTGTCCTCCGGTCCCAGTGCCAAGATCATTGATCAAAACGAGACGCTGTTTGTGGATTTCACAGGGGTTATGTTCAGATTTCTGGTGAAATGTGAGACTATACGGTTGAGCTGTGGCGCAAAGTTGTATAAGAAATTGATTCTGAGATTTTCAAAATGCATCTCTGTTCTCTCACAAATTTATTATGAGCTTAGTTTTGTACAATAGATGGCGCTTTAGGTTAGTTTTGAACAGCAGATGGCGCTTTAAGCCAGTTTTTAGCAGCAGACTATGCTCTGGGCTAGTTTTAACAGCAGGTGGCGCTCTAGGCTAGTTTTTAAATCAATAGACAACGCTCTAGGCTAGTTTTGAACAGCAGATGGCGCTCTAGGCTAGTTTTTATGAACAAATGGCACTAGCTATCTTTTATAACAAGCCCAGAATGTCGTCTGCCAATTTAAAAACTACCCTAGAGCATCGTCTGCTGATTTAGAAACTAGCCTAGAGGGCCATCTGCTGATTAAACATTGCCTAGAGCGCCATTTGCTGATTTAAAAAACTAGCCTAGAGCGCCGTCTGCTGTTGAAAACTAGCCTAGAGCACCATCTGCTCTTAAAACTACCCTAGAGCGCCGCCTGCTGTTTCAAAACTAGCCTAGAGCGCAGTCTGCTGGTTAAAAACTAGCCTAGAGCGCCGTCTGCTATTAATCACTACCGTAGAGTGCCGTTTGCTGTTAAAAACAAACCTAGAGTGGCATCTGCTGTTACAACTAGCAAAACTAACAGCCGACAGTGCTCTAGGCTAGTTTTGAACAGCAGACGGCACTCTAGTTATCAAAAAATGCTGCTCAAAGCTAGCCTAGAGCGTTGTCAGCTGCTCAAAGCTAGCCTAGAGCACCATCTGCTGCTCAATACTAGCCTAGAGCAAAACTAGCCTAGAATGCACCGTCTGCTGCTAAAAACTATCCTAGAGCGTCGTCTGCTTCTCAAAACTAGCCTAGAGCAAAACTAGCCTAGAGCCCGCTGTCTGCTGCTAAAAACTAGCCTAGAGCGCCGTCTGCTGCTCAATACTAGCCTAGAGCAAAACTAGCCTAGAGTGCGCTGTCTGCTGCTAAAAACTAGCCTAGAGCGTCGTCTGCTTCTCAAAACTAGCTAGAGCAAAACTAGCCTAGAGCGTGCCATCTGCTGCTAAAAACCAACCTAGAAACTAGGTGCTCAAAACTAGCCTAGAGCACCGTTTTCTGTTCAAAACTAGTCTAGAGCGTCATTTGCTGCTTGAAACTAGCCTAGAGCGCCATCTGCTGCTCAAAGCTAGCCTAGAAGCATTGTCTGCTTTTCAAAACCAGCTTAGAGCGCCGTCTGCTGTTCTAAACTTAACTCATTCAAGAGAAAATATCGATTTTTCAAAATGCAGACTTCATTTCTTAGACGATTTTTCCCCACAGCTCTGTAATGCGGTTTGGCCTGATGTGTAATGCTGCCTTTAGCTCTATGAACATAGATTTATTTTATTACTGATTTCTCTTGAGCTGCACTTAAAACCTGGGTTTCTTGTCTTGCGGTTTGCAGGAAGAACTAGCGCATAACAGTTAAGTTCACCCTAAAGTGAATATTGTCATCATTTACTCAACCTTCCACTTCTTTTCTGAGTTTCTTTCTACTGCTAAACACAAACAGATAGTTTGAAGAAAGTCCTATGGTCGCTATTGATTTCTGTATAATTATTTTCCAGCTATGGATATCTCCTACTATGGCATTTTTTTTCCTTCAACATTCTTCAAAATATCTTCTTTTGTTTTCAACAGTGGGGGACAAAACGGGTTTAGATCCGCTTGAGGGAGTAAATAGAGGGTAAATTAAAAATGTTTAGGTGAGTTATCCCTTTAAAACTGTTAAACTGCTTTTATCCCTTTTTCAAGTCTAAATGTCTCATTTTTAGAAAAATCATTTAACTATTAAAGCAAAATGGGAATTAATCAGCATGATGTGTCCGCTATTTACTTGAATAAGAGGACAAATTAAACCATGGCTTAATTTAACTAAAATCAGGGCAACAAATGAGTAAAACAACCATTTGATTCTGAAATTCTGCCCATGATGATGTTTTTAACACACTTCTTTAGTTGAAACTGCTGTGAATGCACAAGTGATTGGTCGAGTTTGACCTGTTTGATAATTAGCGCGTTGTTTGTGTTTGATTGAAAAAGTGTGTATGTTTTTTTTTTCTTTTATATATTCTTTCTGCGCAAGTCAAACACTAGAGGGCGCTAATGTTTATTGTACATGTACTATGAGCCACACAACAGCAGAAAAGCTTCCAATTAGTGCTGTTAAACAGTTAATCGTGACTAATTGCATTCAAAATGAGTTTGCAATTACATTATTGTGTGTGTGTGTGTGTGTGTGTGTGTGTGTGTGTGTGTGTGTGTGTGTGTGTGTGTGTGTGTGTGTGTGCGCGCATTTACATATGTGTGTATATATATATATATATATATATATATATATATATATGTGTATGTGTGTGTGTGCGTGTGTATGTGTATATATATATATATATATATGTTTATGTGTGTGTGTGTGTGTGTGTGTGTGTGTGTGTGTGTGTGTGTGTGTGTGTATATGTATGCATGTATGTGTGTGTATTATATATATATATGTATATATATATATATGTGTGTGTGTGTGTGTGTGTGTGTATATATATATATATTATCTATATATAATATATATATATATATATATATATATATATATATATATATATATATATATATATATATATATATATACACACACACACACACGTACATATACATGTATACATACACACACACATGTATGTATATGTATGTATGTGTTTATGTATGCATGCGTATATACACACACACACACACACGTTTTATTATATTTAACAAACTTGTATGTGAATAATAATATATATGGTAATATTATTGTAGTACGTACTTGTCTGTGCGCATAATTATATATAGGCAATTAACGCACATGTAAATACAAACTTTTAAATTGTATGCGATTAGTCACGATCAACTGTCAAACGGCACTACTTTTGATGATCATTGATCCACGTTCCTATTGAGAAATGACGAGCCTGTGTTGTCTTAACGTTTTTGTATGTGAACTGTTTTTTTAAATGAAAGGAGAAGCATAAGTCCAAAAATAAGACAACTTAAATGTATTTCAGGGCTAAAAAAAACAGTTGTTCACTGCGATTAAAACACTCTTTTCTCAGATTTTGTCTCGTATTTAGTCCAAATATTCTTTAATCAAGAAGCATTTTCTAGCCATCAAACATATTGTCTTGTTAAGAAATAATGAGTCAAAATTTAGCCAAAACTTGATTATTTTATTTGTTTTAAGGAAAAACGCGCTTAATTTGTACTTAATATTTTGGAAAACAAGACAATATTTTTTGCTTGTCAAAAAAAAGCTTCTTGATTTAAGAGTTTGTAGATATGTGGACTATAAACGTGACAATAACTATGTATGAAAAGCATGTTTTGCAGTGTTGTGATGGACGCGAGTTGTCAAATGTCGGTCAGATGTTTGTAGAAGTGCTTTTTCTGTGTGTTTGACGTAACCGGCGTCGAGAAAAGCAGTGTGGTTTAAAAAAAGTGCCTATTTTTATCTGATGTTGGTCGTTCGTGCTCATAATTCAGGAGTTGTGGTTTTTGGAGAGTGTACTCGTTCATGAAGCCCCAATGATGCTGAGATCAAAACAGAATTAATAATAACGACAATTGTTTAATAAAAGTTTTCATGTATTTATCTGTGTGCTGTGTTTTCGCATAATGTGTGATATTCTGGGTGTGTTTAATCGACATCTGTGATTTCAGCGGCGTAATTTCCACGTTTGTGCCACTGAAATGCTATTGGCTGGTTTTTATAATAGGGGAGGGGCTACTCTGTCCCGCCCACGTCTTTATCTTTAAGTTCAATTTAAATCATGCATTAATCAAATCGGCACATTTCAAAGCACTTCAGGGAACTTTTAACCACATATTTTTACTATTGGGGAAAGAAAAAGGTGTATTACAATTCGAAACGTTTCGTAAAATTTCGTAACGCCAACTTAATTACCTGAAATTGATTTTAGCTAATCACGAAGCAGCTTTTGGTCTCCTCTGTGTACTGGTAAAGTCTAGAAAGGATACAGCTGCAGATACTCGCATCAATGTAGCGTAATTTTTGTGACGCTGTGCAACAATTATTAAGACTTTTACAGTAGTACGTGGGGTTGTGTGGGCGTAAATTAAATACAATTTAATTAGTAATTTCATTAATAATATGAAAAACACTGTATAATTACCAGTTTAACATTACCGTGAGGGTTGTTGTGGGGGTAGACAATAATTAAATACAATTAATTGGTCATTTAATAAAGAATATAAATAATTTCTTAGTGTAATTACGGTTTTTACATAACTGTGAGGATTGAGTTTAGGGTTGGAATAGAGGTGGGCGTTAATAAAATGTTATTTAATGGGTAATTTATACAGCTGTATTCCTTCTAGCAACAACACTACATGCTGCTATAAAGGCGGTGTTAGCGTTAGCCATTATGCTTTTTAGGCTATAATAATTTTTAGATTTGCCTTCATTAACTGTGTTTGTGTTATTGTTGTCGTTATAGATGCGGTTTTAATACCAAGGTGATTCCACAGTGTTTTACGTTTTTTGGAATGTAATACAAATGCGCCAGTAGTTGCATCGGTAACTCAAGCATAATATAAACCGAGAACAATTGATCAGATATTTGTTTTGCGACTCCTTTTATAGGCTCCTGTCCTAGAAGGCGGGCTTTATTCGCCATGTAGCGATCGCTGATTGGCTGCTGTACTAGAAGGCGGGCTTTATTCGCCATGTAGCGATCGCTGATTGGCTGCTGTACTAGAAGGCGGGCTTTATTCGCCATGTAGCGATCGCTGATTGGCTGCTGTACTAGAAGGCGGGCTTTATTCGCCATGTAGCGATCGCTGATAGGCTCCTGTCCAAGAAGGCAAGCTTTATTCGCCATGTAGCAATCGCTGATTGGCTCCTGTCCAAGAAGGCGAGCTTTTTTTCACCATATAGTGATCGCTGATTGGCTCCTGTATTAGAAGGCGGGGCTTAATTCGCCATAAATCTATTGCTGATTGGCTCCTGTACTAGAAGGCTGGCTTTATTTGCCATATAGCGATTGCTGATTGGCTCCTGTATTAGAAGGCGGGGCTTTATTCACCATATAGCGATCGCTGATTGGCTCCTGTACTAGAAGGCTGGCTTTATTTGCCATATAGCGATTGCTGATTGGCTCCTGTATTAGAAGGCGGGGCTTCATTCGCTATATAGCGATTGCTGATTGGCTCCTGTCCTAGAAGGTGGGCTTTATCCACCATATAGCGATTGCTGATTGGCTCCTGTCCTAGAAGGCGGGCTTTATCCACCATTTAGCGATCGCTGATTGGCTGCTGTCCTAGAAGGCGGGCTTTATTCACCATGTAGCAATCGCTGATTGGCTCCTGTACTAGAAGGCGGGCTTTATTTGCCATATAACGTTTGCTGATTGGCTCCTTCCTAGAAGGCGGGCTTTAATTGCCAAATAGCGATTGCTGATTGGCTCCTGTATTAGAAGGCGGGGCTTCATTCACCATATAGCGATCGCTGATTGGCTCCTGTACTAGAAGGCGGGCTTTATTCACCATATAGCGATCGCTGATTGGCCCCTGTCCTAAAAGGCGGGCATTATTTGCCATATAGCTATCGCTGATTGGCTCCTGTATTAGAAGGCGGGGCTTCGTTCGCCATATTGACAGTTACACTTTTCCCTATTCAAAAGTATACGACTGACATGTCTAGTGTATTCTATAGTTTTTTTTACGCACCTTTAAAATACAGTAACACACCGCATAACTGTCTTACAGTAAAATACAGTTAATATTACAGTAACATACTGGGTAATTTACATAAATCGTTATCAGTGTAAATAAACGAATCAAACTGACATCACCACAGTTCTGCATGGCAGTACAGGAAATGAGAATTAAATCGAAGACATTTTCCCCTATTTGTGTCACCTCCACACTCATCAAGCCAAAGCTAGACCCATGTGTGATGTTATGAACCACTGTGACGGATGTTATTGGCCTTATAATGGCCATAATCCCTCAATGTGTGTCATCGTGGTTATTTATGACATGATAAATTCAAAGGGAGTGACGCACGGAGAACCGCTGGAAAATCCACACTCTTTTCTCCCTGAGGTGAAATATTTTTTCAAGAGAATAAGAATCTTTCATGTAGTTTAAATTGGAAATGAAAAATACGGTGCTCCGCATAAATGAGCACACCACACTCTGAAAAATGAATATTTTGCTGAGTTTCTTAGTGAATATAGCGCATATATTTTAGTGCAAAACAGATTTATTAAACAGATAAATTTATTAAAATGATGTTTTAGTCACTAAACATCTTTAGAAATATAAAAATTACACATTTAAGATCATGTGAAATATTGAAATATAAAATACAAAATGCAAGCCAGGCTCATTTTGATTACACACCCCTGTATACATTTATGAAGAGCACCAAATACGCCCCAGGAGCTATGTTTTTTGCAGTTTTTGTTTTCGAGAATCCACTAGCATGGAGCAACCCTCCCGTTTTTCTTAGGATTCTCCCGTATTTTACAGTTCTATCCCGCTATCATCCCGTAAAGGTATTTTCCTGTTTTTCTCCTGTATTTTCAATCTTTCTATGAAGGGTGGCAATAAACAGAGCCGATCCTCCCTATACGCAACCCATGCTGCCGAACCACCAGGGGGCGCCTTTTGCTCTTAAATGTGAGTCTCTTCTGTGCTTTCGTTTTATTTAGGCATGAAAACACTTTGAAATAAATATAAATTGGAAAGGATTCCCTTCCTTTCCAATACAATCCTCAAGTCCATATAGCGGTGCGTGACTGTCAGATGCGCTCCATGGTGATATGGATTCTGTTCACACGATTTGAAGCTAACCAAAAGTGAACAACAGACATACACATAATTATACTAATAATTTCTAAACTCGTCGATCTTGGGGGGGGGGGGGGGGGGGGGGGGGTTCTTTTAAATACACTTTTTGTCTAAAATGAGCATAAAAAGTTAAGAAAGCATGCTTTCATTATAGATGTGTGTGTGCATTTTTAAAGTGACGCCTCTGTTATTTAATGTAATCAAACTAAAAATCTAATCATAAACATTCATTTAATCAGCTCTTTAATCAGAATGTTTAAATTAAACAGAGAAGAAAAGGTTAATGTGACTTTTTTTGGGGGGTTGGGGGGGGGGTATGCCTTATTTTCATATCCCAATGTTGACAGGTATGCACCAGGGACTGCTGTGTATGCTTTTTCAGATCTCAAATTTCTCTCGCGAGTGCCATTCACGCCTGCTGTTCTCAAATAAATCCATCAGAGGCCGCTGTCAACTGACTGACTGACTGACCGACCGACCGATCCCCCTTCCCTAAACCCAACCGATAGGGCTTTCAAAAGCAATCCAGAAAAAGACAAGCCCTCATGGCTGCCTGATTTTTACCACATTTTCAGATCTTACCACGTTCTCACCTTATTATTTACTAGTTTATTTAATTTTTTGGTGAATCACTCAGTTCCCCTATAGCACCCGGAGGAAACCCACACCAACACGGGAGGAACATACAAACTCCACAGAGCAATACCAACTGACCCAGCTGGGACTCGAACCAGCAACCTCCTTGCTGTGAGGCCACAGTGCTAACCACAGAGCCACTGTGCCGCCTAGACAGATCAGTAGAATACATTATATTTAAAAGCATAAGCATCATCGTCACATTCAAACCTGAAATAATTTTGACAAACTATAATTTTTAAGTGTGAATTTGAGTAGCATCAAGATTATTATAGTTTTGCATGTTTAAAATTTGTTTCTATATCAATATTTCTATTTAATTTGCTTTAAATTTCAGTTTAGTTTTAGTTGGTTTCATTAATTTGTATAAAAACATTATTATTGACCAGTAGTTTTAGTTTTTCGTTTACTACAATAACCTTGCACATTCGGAAAGCTCGTTTTTTCTAGTTCTAGTGCACTTCAATGTGCTGTCTATGTAGGGTGCTGAGTAAATATTAGCACACGGCCATCTGGAGCGCGTCTCTAGCACATGGACTTGATCTCTCTCTCTCTCTCTCTCTCTCTCTCTCTCTCTCTCTCTCTCTCTCTCTCTCTCTCTCTCTCTCTCTCTCTCTCTAACGGGACAAGCTCTAGCCTAATCCGCTTCCTACAGGCGTCCAGATAACCAAGACAATACACACTCGCATTTAACACCTCCAAAACAACAGCAGCAGGCAACCATGATCATAGACGTCCCCGTTATTCTGTCCGCACTTTTCTTCACTGTCATCGCCATAATAATCGCATCGACGCTCCTGGCGAAGAAACCTGCGCCGAAGAAAGAGCCGAAGGAGAAGAGAGACGAGCGGCTGACTGAGCTCCAGCAGCCCGCAGAGGAGCAGCATGTCCCGGCTACAGCTCTGAGGAGGGAAGACCCCTGTCATGCGGAACTCATCTCACCTGTGCAGGTAAAACGCCGCTCACACGAGCATTGCGATGTTTTATGTGTACTGGTGAGGGGTAGTTTACTCAAAAATGATAATCCGTCATTATTTAGGCCACTCACTTGATGATATTTTTGTTGGGTTGAACAACACGAAAGCAGATATTTTGAAGAATGTTGGAAACTGTTTACCATTGACTTCCAATTGAGGTAGTTGGTTTTATATTCGCACAATCGGACTTTCTTCTTTCTTCTTGGGATATTTAGTGTATTCTGACGTATAGTATCCTCTGATTAGCTATTTCAGAGGCCACCGCAAGTCAAACTATACAACACATTTAAAATTAAAATATGTTTAAACGACACTCGCCGGCCACTTTATTAGGTACACCTTACTAGTACCGACTTGGGCCCTTTTTTGCCTTCAGAACTGCCTTAATCCTTCGTGGTGTGGATTCAACAAGCTACTGCAAATATTCCTCAGAGATTTTGCTCCATATTGACATGATAGCATCACGCAGTTGCTGCACATCCATGATGCCAATCTCCCGTTCCACCACATCCCAAAGGTGCTCTATTGGATTGAACTCTGGTGACTGTGGAGGCCATTTGAGTACAGTGAACTCATTGTCATGTTTAAGAAACCAGTCTTAGATGATTCACGCTTTATGACATGGTGCGTTATCCTGCTGGAAGTAGCCATCAGAAGATGAGTACACTGTGGTCATAAAGGGATGGACATGGTCAGCAACAATACTCGGGTAGGCTGTGGTGTTGACACGATGCTCAATTGGTACTAATGAGCCCAAAGTGTGCCAAGAAATTATCCACAACACCATTACACCACCACCACCAGCCTGAACCGCTGATACAAGGATATAGATCAGCAGTTTCTGAAATACTCTGACCAGCCTGTCTGGCACCAACAACCATGCCACGTTCAAAGTCACTTAAATCCCTTTTCCTCTCCATTCTGATGCTCGGTTTGAACTGCAGCAGATCGTCTTAACCATGTCTACATGCCCAAATGCATTGAGTTGCTGCCATGTGATTGGCTGATTAGAAATTCACGTTAACGAGCAGTTGGAGAGGTGTACCTAATAAAGTGGCCGGTGAGTGTATATGTAGAAACAAACAGCTATTTTACAAGAAAAGTGTCCTGTGAGCACTTATGATGTTCATCGGTGCTCTTGAAGTGTTCTTTTCAGAGCGTTGAATGACTTTTTCACGCACTGATTGATTGGCATGATCATGCATTCACAATAATATGAGTCGTTATAAGGGTGGTCAAATGCGTATGTATACTGTCTATTATTTTAAACATTTATATTATTATTTAAGATACAGATCAGAGAAAACTAGATCTCACTATTTAGAGGACTGACCCCGTCTACATGTCGTTTGGACGTCCTTCAGGGGGGATCAAGCTTTAATTGGGGGGGTCAATCCCTGGATGTATACTGATCAAAAAAGTATGTGCATTTAAAAGCAAATTATTAGTCTGGGACATTTTTAAATGTCATATATACAGTGTGTATATATATAATAATAATAATAATAAAAATGTAAACGGTCAATATTGTACATACTCACCGGCCACTTTATTAGGTACACCTGTCTAACTGCTTGTTGACACAAATTTGCCTTAAAAACTGTACTCAAATGGCCTCCACAGTCACCAGAGCTCAATCCAATAGAGCACCTTTGGGATGTGGTGGAAAAGGAGATTGGCATCATGGATGTGCAGCAACTGCGTGATGCTATCATGTCAATATGGAGCAAAATCTCTGAGCAATATTTCCAGTAGCTTGTTGAATCTACGCCACGAAGGATTAAGGCAGTTCTGAAGGCAAAAGGAGGTCCAACCTGGTACTAGCAAGGTGTACCTAATAAAGTGGCCGGGGAGTGTGGATTATTCCAGCCGAATTAAAAGAAATAAGACATTCTCAGTGGACGAATGTAATAGGAAATACTGTATTCCTGCACCTGTTAAACGTCACGTCAGCAAATTAAAATTTCACACGAGGGCTGATCATTTTGTCATGTCATCATTGTGCGCTAGCAAAATAAACAGACACAATTTCACACAGATCCATTCATTCATTCATTTTCCTTCGGCTTAGTCCCTTTATTTATCAGGGGTCGCCACAGTTAAATGAACCGCCAACTAATCCAGAATATTTTTTAAGTAGCAGATGCTCTTCCAGCTGCCACCCAGTAATGGAAAACATCCATACACACTCATACACACACTCACTCATACACTACAGGCAATTTAGTTTATCAATTCCCCTATAGCGCATGTGTTTGCACTGTGTGGGAATACGAGGAGAACATGCAAACTCCACACAGAAATGACAACTGACCCAGCCAAGGCTCGAACAAGCAACCTTCTTGCTGTAAGGCTACAGTGCTTACCACTGAGCCAGCATGTCGGCCTTCACAGATCTTCAATCTTTATATGAAAGGACTTTTACTATACTGTAACTTTAATCCTCTCACTCCACTGTAATCTCTCAGTAGATAAGTTACATGACAAAACATACTGTAGTAAATAGTGTTTATGAGCATTGGAAAGTCTATGGCAGGGTACTGGAGAGGAGGATCCGGGCTGATGGTTGAATCTAGGATCCAGGAGGAACAATGCGGTTTTCGTTCCACAGGGTTGGACGAGCATCCGCTGCGTAAAAAATTGCTGGATAAGTTGGCGGTTCATTCCGCTGTGGCGACCCCGGATTAATAAAGGGACTTAAGCCGACATTAAAATGAATGGCTTTACTGTGGTATGGTTCAAAAACACTGCAGTATTCACTGTGAATAACTTGATCTTGGCCTGGACTGAACGTTTCTGTTGCTCGGCCTATTTTAAACATCACACTGGTGGACGTGATGTTGTTCAGCAGTGTTTTGTGACCTTTCCCGCGAGCGCACGTTTTGGTCTTGACTTAGAAATTGTCCGCCGCAGCAGAAACCAGAGCTCCTGTGCGCCTATGTATGGCTTCAAACGTATATCTGCTATATTTAAAAGTGTATATTGTGTGACAGGCTTCTGCTGAGAGTGTGTGTGTGTGTGTATGTTTGTGAATGTACATGACAGGATCTCAGAGCTTCAATCGTCAACACTGATGAAAATATTTAGTGTTGTTATCACAGCGTTGGCCTAGATCACCTGATTAAACCTGCCATATATACTGCATTGATCCAATATCTTAAATTGATCCCTGTTATCTGCGTAGTACTTGTGTGGTAGAGCTCAAAATGACTCCAGAATTGGTTGTACATGCTCATTTATTGGTGTGTGTGTGTGTGTGTGTTTCTGAGCTGTGTTCTGTTTGCTCAAACAGGCTGAGGAGCCGGTGTCTGCAGTCGCGCCTGTGATTGAGGATGTGGGAGTTTTGGAGGATCAACCTGAGAGCATCGCAGTGCAACACACACCTGTGCAGGTAAGAGATGGGATGTGATGTAGCAGTGCGATCAGAAAGCCTAAATAGTGTCCACATGTGAAATTATGCTGCATGATACTGGAAAAACATGCGGGATTGTTGTTGAGTATTGCTATAACGATATAACATTTCCCGCTAACCTAAAATTCATGATATACTGAAGAATGCTGGATAAAACCAAGTCGGTATCGCTGCAGCCCGGAGACCCCCAAGTGGGAGGGATTACACCGCATGTAGCTTGGGTGGCCTATAAGTGGGCGGGACTTAAACCACAAGTAGGTTGGGTTTAAGTGGTGTATGGTGGAGAGTAGACATTAACAAAACACATTAGGTTACTGTGAGGTTGGGTTTAGGTCAGGCTGGAAAATGACCAGCTAAATCCAGCTAAAACCAGCTTGACCAGCCTGGTCTAAGGTGGACATAGCTGGTATTGGCTGGGCTCCCAGCCTGGCTAGGCTGGTCAAGCTGGTTTTAGCTGGTCATCTCCCAGCCTGACCAGCTAAGACCAGGCTGGAAATGGCTGGAAACCAGCCTGGAAGTGGCCAAAACCCTTCTAAAACCAGCCTGGTCAACCAGCTAAAACCAGCCAACCAGCCTAGGCTGGTTTAAGCTGGATTTTTCAGCAGGGAAACGACAACAACGACATTATTAAGGTGAAAGCTTTAAAACACAATTAAAGCAGTAACGTTAAATAAGCTCCTGAACCGACTACACACAGAAACCCGTTTTCAGAGTAAATCATTGTAATTTATGTACACTATGGTGATTTTTTTTTTTCAGGAGTATAAGCAAACTACCCTATTGGAAAATCCAGCTTAAACCAGCCTAGGCTGGTTTTAGCTGGTTGACCAGGCTGGTTTTAAGTCAAGTCAAGTCAAGTTTTATTTGTCACATACATAGTTATACAAAGTATGACCAGCAGTGAAATGTAGGTCAGGTCCGCTCCAGAGATAGTGCAAGTATAGATAAACAAAAAATTACATATTAAGGAAAGAGAAGAAAAAAAAAAGCGTGCAAAAAAAAAAGATGTGCAAAAAATTATACAAGGTAATAAGAATAGCAGCAATATGATGTACTTATGAATATGACTACTACAATGATAAATACGAAAAAATCACGTAATGTGTAACACCGGGGGTCTGTTCTTCGTACGTGGATTACTCAGTTAGCTGGATTTGGATATTGACGATTTGACACGATCCAGGATCGTTTCGTTCTTCAAAGCTGTTCCTAGAGTTGTTGTCATGGCAACAGATCTGCTAGGTCAAACCTGATCGGGAGCAGGTTCAAGTCATATAAACAGGATTAGATCGGCTCAGTTCAAGCAAAGATAATACAGAAAGTATGTACCGAGTTCTGATATTTTCTTACAGTAAAAGTTATATACACTTGGGAAAATAGTAGTTTTTAACTATATATATAAAGTTATAGTCATTAATAAAATAAATAAAGTTTTACATATTAATAAAACTTATGCAATCTGCACCCTCGAAATGAAAGTACAAAGACTGCCACCTGGTGGTGCAAAGAGAAAACTTCTTGATATGAACTTTTTAGATCGCTTTAGTACAAATTGTGTATAATAGAAATGCGCAATATGTGACTTTTTTTAAAAGCAATAATACATTTATGCAGTCATAAACATGTTTTGACAGTTAATATGCCAGTGATGCTTCACAAAAGTTGCAGACGCCTTTACCAATATCAAAATGCTTTTGGAAACAACCAGTTATTCTTTACACCGATTAAAAAACTGTACTATAATAAAGAAAATCTTTTCTAAATGTAGAACTAAATACATTGATATGCATTGAAATACATGATGAATACTCTTGACACATGAAAGTGTAAAGCCTGCAGCTCACAACAAATGTCAAGTTCTTGCGTGTCATATTAAACAAGCCGTTTGCTGCTAATTTGATGTAATTTTGCTCACATGGATAATTGAATATTAATCAGATGATGTCATTACGCTGCTGTGCCGTCAGCCAATCGTTGCATTGCTGATCATGATTTCGAGGATCAATAGATCTGTCCTTAACAACACACGCAGCGATCTCAGATCAGTTCATCCAGACATTCTAATCTGATTCGCGAACTCGTTTGAAGAACCAAATAAGCGAGAGATCAGTTATCAAGATTAAAAGATCCAGGATCTGCCAAATCATCTTAGATCATTTAAGCGAGGTACGAAGAACGGACCCCGGGTTAGAATTTAGTAGCCTAATGGCCTGGGGAAAGAAACTCCTCCTAAGTCTCTCAGTTTTTGCCATCAAGCTACGAAATCGTTTTCTAGATGGAAGCAAAGTGAATAGATAATTGTCAGGATGGTTTAAGTCCTTACAGATTTTAACAGCTCTGTTCTTACAGCGTTTAATATAGATGTCCTGTAAGGAGGGGAAAGCAGACCCTGAGATGCGCTCAGCTAAACGCACAACTCTTTGAAGTGCTTTGCGGTCTTGGTTTGAGCTGTTTCCATACCACACTGAGATACCTCAGCCATTTCCAGCCTGGTCCTAGCTGGTCAGGCTGGAAAATGACCAGCTAAAACCAGCTTGACCAGCCTGGACATAGCTGGTTTTGGCTGGTCATCTCCCAGCCTGACCAGCTAAAACCAGACTGGAAATGGCTGGAAACCAGCCTGGAAATGGCCAAAACCCCTCTAAAACCAGCCTGGTCAACCAGCTAAAACCAGCCAAAAAAAAAGCTGTTTTTTTAGTAGGGTGGCTACTGTACAAACCACTTTTGTCCAATTACTTTCCTTATTATGACAGAACTTCAATTTTCACCCTTTAAAGCAGACCCCACATTGTGGAAAATATCCGTAAGTGCGCAGTTTTTCTGTATTTTTTGATTCATGTTTTTATTTTGCCCAGTTTATTTCTGCTTTTGAATTGCATTATGGGATTTTGATCTTTCTTCCAACAACTTTTAACATTGAAAAGTGTGAAAAAGTGACTTTTATTGTGATTTGTAATAGTTTGCAGTGCTATATTGTCTGTGTTGGTGTCGTATATTACGCTACAAACACCTTATAATAAACTGCAGCACATTTCCTGCTATTTCACACACTTATTTCTCTAGATATAGTACATTATATTATTTCAAACAACTAAAAACATCACTAAAAGTCACTTTGTTAAACTGTAGAGTTGATTATTTAACATTAAAAGTGGACAGAGCAGAGATCAACATCCCATAATGCACTTCACCACTGTAAATAAACAGAAAACTCAATTAAAAGCACAGATGTTTTGCTCAGTGCATAACTCCACAGTGGACCACATTAGCTCTTCTTTTTATTTGTAACATCGCTGGATGCAAAGCATGATATAAAATTCAAATGAAGTAAAACAGAAGTGCTTTCTGTGTGCAAACTGCCCGTGATCTAGCGCACTGAAAACAGAGCCAGCGTGTCTGTGATGCTGTAAATGCTGTGAACGGCCACACATGAGAAGCATTAGCGCTGGTCGGACCCTCGGGGATCCATTACACAGCTTCCTTATGTAACTCTGATACAGCCTGCCTTACTATAATGGGGAAATCCCGGCCAGAATGCGTCCCGTCTCCCTCAGGCAGACTGCAGTTTTGGGCTAACTGCAGCGTATGATGGCAGATGTGTGTTAGAAAGTTACAAAATGCAAACTTATTGAACCTCTAAGCTCAAAAAGTGTTTGCAAAGTTGATGGTAGAAAATGCACTGAAAAAAAAAAGCTTTTCTTATTTAAGATTTTTGTCGTCTTTCTAGACCAACACTCAGAAAATGAGTTCTGTTTACTACACCGCAGAACTTGCAGTGTTATTTTAATTCTAAAAGAGTTCCGAAATGAGTGAACACACACTCGCTGGCCACTTTAATAGGTACACCTGTCCAACTGCTCGTTAACGCAAATTTCTAATCAGCCAATCACATGGCAGCAACTCAATGCATTTAGGCATGTAGACATGGTTAAGTCGATCTGCTTAAAGCGAGCATCAGTATGGGGAAGAAAGGGGATTTAAGTGACTGAATGTGGCATGGTTGTTGGTGCCATGGTCTGAATATTTCAGAAACTGCTGATCTATTGGGATTTTCACGCACAACCATCTCTAGGGTTTACAGAGAGCGGTCTGAATAAAGAGGAAATATCCAGCGAGCGGCAGTTCTGTGGGCGCAAATGCCTTGCTGATGCCAGAGGTCAGAGGAGAATGGCCAGACTGGTTCCAGCTAAAAGAAAGCCCATTAGTAGCAAGTATTGTTACTAATGAGTAGTATTGTTGCTCACCATGTCCATCCCTTTATGAGCACAGTGTCTCCATCTTCTGATGACTGCTTCCAGCAGGATAACACACCATGTCATAAAGCTCAATCATCTCAGACTGGTTTCTTGAACATGACGATGAGTTCACTGTACTCAAATGGCCTCCACAGTCACCAGATCTCAATCCAATAGAGCAGCTTAGGGTTGTGGTGGAAGTGTCTTGAAAAATATCTAGTCTATTAGTATGTGCTGTCATCATGGCAAAGAGAAAATAAATCAGTTATTAGAAATAGGTTATTAAAGCTATAATCAGAAACTCCGCTCTCCATTAAACAGAAATAAACAGAGGGGCTAATAATTCTTCCACTGTGTATATATAAATATTGTATAAACTCTGGATAGCTGTTTTTTAATGCTATCCTTGTGTCTTTTAAGTGTGAAGCAGTTTGAGAATTAAGTTGTAAACTTTTTTTGGACATTAAAGCATGTAAACCTGTTCAAATACACCGATTAAACTAAATAACAACCATTTAACATTGCATCAAATGAGCTTTTTAACAAATGTATGAGCAGTGCTGGGAATAAAAGCTGGAACATAATAGATCGCTCTTCAGCAGTGTTTGGGGGTTTTATCAGTGAATGTCTCTCATGCAGAAGCTTGAACATTTATTGATTGTAAATTAGACATTTATTGAGGCTGTAAAGCAGATTTGCATGAGCTGGTTCCTTGTACCTGATGAATGAGAGCCTAACTAAACA